ATCCCGGATCCAGGAGCAGCACACGGTGTGTTGCCTCCAATGGTAACAGGGTCACAGCTGGCGGAGAGGATGGGACCAGGGATGGTCACAATGAAAGAAGGAGGCTGGATCACGACCTCTGCAGGTGGGATCTGGTTGATGGGTTGTGGGTTGATTCCAGCCAGGGTTCCCAGTTCTCCAGAACTCACGCCTCCTCCGAGGTGACCACCTGCAAGGCCACCCATGCTTCCTCCTTGAAGGCCACCTCCAAGACCTCTACCACCAAGGCCAAGGCCAGCCAAGCCACCAGCAGAGGCACCTCCAAAGGAACCTCCAGAAGCACCAGCAGACCCAATTCCAAACTGTGGGACGGAGGCACAAGATGGGATGACGTGGGTTGGAAGACAGAAAGCCATTGCTGCAATCTGAAAAAAAGGTCAAGAAGAAGCCAAGTCAATACAAAGGAAAAAGAGGAGAAGGAGGAGAAGACACTGAATGCCCATATCTCCATCGTTTATCCTATTTCTCTCCTACCGGTTTCCCGAGATAAGTTCTCCTAATTTTTCCAGCTGTTCCTCTTAAGACACAAAAGCTCACTTTTTCCACGGATTTTAGGAGATAACCAAGTGTGAAAAATTTCATCTACCAATTTTGGAAGACCAAGCTGGTCATGACAGCACAAGCAGTGTTGATGTTGAGAAGAATCAGAAGTCTTCATTAGAACATCAACCCTTGCATCAGCTAACCATGGACATTTCTCCAAGAATCTGCCTTACCTCTTCTTCTGGGGTCTTCTTGTGGAGACAGGAGACTCAAGTGAAGCTGTTGAGATAGCTGAAGAGGCCAAGGGTTTTATACCATTTTGCCGGGATCCTCAGATGTCTAGGACACCACCTCCTTCGTCTGATGATCCGAGTTTGCAACACCCATTTTTTGCCCTTTTTCCTGAGTCAGAATAGTTTTGTTAAGAACTCAGCAGAAATTAAGGTGGCATCAGAGGAGGCAATATTGCTAAAAGTCCACCAACCGCTTCCTCTCGGCTTGCATTCTTCGCGTTTCCTTTGATTTGGAAGGGGAAAAAATAAATAAATTTAAAAAATGAATTGCAAATGCCTCGGGGGTTCAAGGAATCATCTAAGCCCTTCCTAATCCCATATGACAACTCGGAAATTCTTGCTCGTAGGCAGCGTGGCTGTCAATGGGATCTGAGGTTCCACAAGATTAACAAGGCAACTCCCTTGGATTGATCAGACCCATTACACGTCCCTCCCTTTTATCTGATTTAAATCCAAACATTATTTCAAAGGTGGCCAGTGATGCATTGCAGGTCGGTCCGATTTAAGTCTAAATTTTGTGCCTACACACTGTCCTCCTGTAGCTCCAACACTGGGACAGGCAACTCGGCCATTAAGTGAAGCCATTTGGTTCCTTAGAGAGAGCAGTAAAATTAAGAGACAGAATTGGGGATAATTATGATACTTGAATTATACACAGCCTTCCTTACGAAGCAATTTTTCAGCGTGTTAATTCCTTAATGGGCCACGTCTTTGAAGTGGCCTCCTACGGCAATCATGTTCCTATGTTAACACCTAGATGTTTGCTAATTGTGTCAGCATGATGCGCCTTGGGGGACTGAGGAATTGTTTTTGAAGCAGTTGGATTCTTTCTAAGATTTCCTCAAGAATTGCAGCTTTGGTTATGCTTCCTTCCTTCCTTCCTTCCTTTTTTCCTTCCTTCCTTCCTTCCTTCCTTCCTTCCTTCCTTCCTTCCTTTTTCCTACTCTCGCTCCCTTCTCTTTTTTCTTTCTTTTTTCCTTTCTTCCTTCTTTACTTCTTTTTTCTTCTTCCTTCCTTCCTTCCTCTTTTTTCTCCCCTCCCTCCCTCCCTCCCTCCCTCCCTCCCTTCCTTCCTTCCTTCTTTCCTTCTACTCTCGCTCCCTTCTCTTTTTTCTTCCCCTTTTCCTGTCTTTTTTCTTCTTTTTCCTCCCTCCCTCCCTTCCTTCCTCCTTTACTTCCTTCCTTCCTTCCTTCCTTCATTAATTCATTCGTTCCTTCCCCTCAAATTGAAAGCAGCCATGCCTGACTACTATGCCAATCAACAAACTGGGGAAATTAAATAAAGCAAAGGGATTGATATGTTATTTTTTTCATAATGGCAGCTTAATTCTCTTGCATTTTCTGCTGAGCAGTGCTAGGTAGCCCACATGAAAAGAAAAACTGCCCTGGGTCACACAACTTTTAAGCCGGAAAAGAGGCAGAGCCTAATCAGTTAAAACCAGTCAAGATGCCCAGACAGGAGTATAAAAAGCCCAGCTCCTCTTTCCAAAATCCAACAGCTTCACTTGACTCTCCTGTCTTCACAACATCTCCTCAAGGAGCAAGTAAGTCCGTTTTTCTTCTCCAGGTTTGTGTTGGAAACTGGTGGGAGAGAAATAGGATAAACGATGGAGATATGTGCATTCATTGTCTTCTCCTCCTTCTCCTTCTCCTTTGCTTTGACTTGGCTTCTTCTTGACCTTTTTTCCAGATTGCAGCAATGGCTTTCTGTCCTCCATCCTGCATCATCCCATCTTGTGCCTCCGTCCCACAGTTTGGAATTGGGTCTGCTGGTGCTCCTGGAGGTTCCTTTGGAGGTGCCTCTGCTGGTGGCTTGGCTGGCCTTGGCCTTGGTGGTAGAGGTCTTGGAGGTGGCCTTCAAGGAG